ATATCTAGGGATGTATTTATAATTTTAGCAACTAAATCAGTGCCTTTCAAACTTGGCCACTTTCAGACGTATGGGAGAATTCTGGGGGTTGAAATCCTTTCAGTTTCCACTGAGCTATAGGTGTATACATATATATTTGGAAAGTGATGCAAATGCAGAGGGAGAACATTTTGGGGGAATAGAAATCTTGCCCAGTTTTTGCTATAATATGTGCTGCGGTATATCTAGGGATGTATTTATAATTTTAGCAACTAAATCAGTGCCTTTCAAACTTGGCCACTTTCAGACGTATGGGAGAATTCTGGGGGTTGAAATCCACACATCTTTAAACCATCCTTGACAAGACATTTGAACTAGACTTTTTTAAAAAAATTCTTCAACTAGGAGCAAATTGACAAGCATAACTTGAGGTGAAATGGTTGGAGGTGTTCCCCATTCACACTACTTTTCTTCTCCATGTCTTTCTCCAAAGATTTTGACTGGGTATGGGATGAATTGAACAAATCGGCAAATACTCTCTTGACTTGTGACAATCGTAAGGTAAATTTCCACATGGATTACAGTTGTGGTACTGCTGCCATCCGGGGGAACAAGGAACTAGCAGAGGGTCAGCACTTCTGGGAAATCAAGATGACATCACCCGTCTATGGCACTGACATGGTATGTTGGATAAAACCTGACAATAGGTGCTGGAACCAGTTTTTTAAAAATCCAATAAGATTCATCCATAATTACATTTCAGTGGTTTCTGTCACTGGGAGTTGGCAGCATTACATTGAATACATCATGGGTAGTTGCAATAGCACTGTTTGTTGTCTTTAATTTTTGTTTTTTGAGACCTATTTTGCTCCACCAGATCCTAACAGTTTGTATCCAATTTTTCTTTTAAAAAAATGCTGTCAAATATCACAGAGGATGATCAAGTATCAACACAGCCACTATCTTGCTGGAAAAAGCGCCAAATGCTACCAATATAGGAGAGTGATATGAGGTTGAGAACTTTTGAACAATCTCACCTAGAGTCCTCACAAGTTTTTCCATATAGTGTCTTTGTTGTCTGGATGTGGCAGCGTTGTTGGAGGAGAAAATAGTCAATGGAGCCTTTTCAGTACATGGAAGATTTTGAGGTTTAAATTCTGGTATTTCTAGCGAAAGAAACAGATGATAAGTCTTAGAACAGAATAGTACTGAATTAGATAGCTAAATAAATCTGCTTCGTACAAGGCACTAACCCATAGATTGTGATTTTTAAACCTCCAGAGATTGGGCTCGTATAGCATGGTTTGCCAAAAATCACAAAGAATACACGAGCATGCCCAACTTACAATGACAGCCTGTCAGTTCCAGTTGCAGTCATTAGGTGAATCATCATGGGTTATTAATTATGCCACGCGACTTTGACTCGTGACTTCCTGCTGGCTTTGCCATTGATTTTGCTGCTTGGAAATCAGCTGTTGAAAGATACAAAGAGAGATCACAGGACCTTAGGCTCCTGTGACTGTTGTAAAGGTGTGCCAAGTGCCAAACACCTACAATCCTGTGGCCATAAGGCTATGCCATGGTTCTAATTCAGTGCTATCTTGTCTTTGAGCAGTCACTAAATCAGGCCTCTGGAGCCGCATGTGGCTCTTTCATCCCTCTCCGGCATCTCCCTGTCACCAGTCTGCTCCATAACTGATAGGGCTTTTGGTTAGGACAAGTAGAGGAAAAAGGACGCTGCACTAGAAGGAGACTCTAAAGTGGGGGAACTGGACTTCCGGTCGGCAGAGGAAAAAGGACGCCATGCTAGGAGGAGAATCAATGTTGCGGGAACCAGACTTTCGGTCGGCTCCAGAATTGAATGGGGATCTTCCAGTTAGGACCTTTGTGACTGTTTGAGTGTTTAAGGTTGCTGACCCCTGCACTAAACGAATGGTTGTTAGGTAAAGGTAAAGGTTCCCCCACATATGCGTGCTAGTCGTTTCTGGCTCTAGGGGACGGTGCTCATCTCCGTTTCAAAGCCGAAGAGCCAGCACTGTCTGAAGATGTCTTGTGACTGGCATGACTCAATGCCGAAGGTGCACAGAATGCCATTACCTTTCCACCAAAGGTGGTCCCTATTTTTCTACATGCATTTTTTACGTGCTTTCAAACTGCTAGGTTGGTAGAAGTTGGGACAAGTAACGGGAGCAATATGCGGCGCTAGGAATTCGAACCGCTGAACTGTCGACCTTCTGATTGATAAGCTCAGCATCTTAACCACTGGAGCCACTGCGGTTGTTACATAAGGAGTAATATTTGATCACTTTCGTGTTTCTTCCATCCGACTCCCTCTAGATGGTGGGGATTGGAACATCAGATGTGAACCTGGATAAATTCCGTCACACATTCTGTAGCCTGTTGGGAAAAGATGAAGACAGCTGGGGTCTTTCCTACACAGGTAATAACAGCAAAGGTTTCATTTATTTATATCTGGATTTGTAATTTACAGGTGAATGTTTGCAGCTTATGCCTGAATACAAGAACTATTTTTCCTAAAGTTTTGTGTGGATGTAGCTGTCCTTTGTAATGTCTGATTTGCAAATATGGTTCAGTTAACATTAGAGAGCATTTTCTGGCATCCACAGAGAAAGTTTATTCCTCTTTATTAGAGAATGGCGATGGCAAATCATATACACAATCTCAAAATTGATTTTGGAATTCAAACATTGTAATTTCAGAAATATTTGAGGAAGCATTCTAGGCCTTGGGACTAAAGGAGAAAAAAATTCCAAATTATTTGAACTGGACACTTCATTAAATATTCAGCTTATTTTTAGGAAACATTTTTAAATATCTAAAATGCCGTCAGGTAGAAATCATGCCAGGTTTGTTTTTTGTGGATCTAGGAAATAGATCAATGGCTAAACATTGGAAGGGGGGAGAGATGACTATTTTGGTGAAACATTAATAAAAACTTTGAAAGGAAATGGGATTGTTTTAGAAGACAATGGACTTTGCTAGAGGAGTTTAGGTAAGCAGATAACTATCTGAGGAGAATCTTGTTTTGCCTCTTGCATTACAAACTTTCTTAAACAAAAAGTTCGATGAACGCTATAGGGTCCTTTTTACCTTTGCAGAAATTAGAAACCTATCATGTTATAATTGCAAATGTCCCTTTCTCCGTAGGACTCCTCCAGCACAAGGGGGAACGGAGCAATTTTTCAACAAGGTTTGGTCAGGGCTCCATCATTGGGGTGCATCTGGACACATGGCATGGAACTTTAACCTTTTTCAAAAACAGGAAATGTATAGGTAAGGTGGAAGAGGCCAGATGTGTTTTTTAACTAGCGAAATATGGAAATATATGGATAAAATTTATGGGAGGATCTCTAAAAGGCAACAGATTGTTTTCCATTCCAAAATCAGACTTTATTTTAATAGGAGAGAAGGCCGTCTTGAGGTACCGCTACCTGGAAAGGACCATTTACCTGTTGAAAACTAACCTGTATAGCATAATGTAGAGTAAACTAGGAGAGAATCATCATTTTAACAAACCAATTTAACAGATTGGTTGTGGGAAGGTGACTCTGATGGAGATAAAGGCCTCTTAAATAGCAAATAAGTTTTTACACATGCATAAAATGACAATTTATAAGTTGTCTGCTTGGTTATTGGATTTGTTCATGGCATTCGTATAGCTTCCAAGGAAGACTATAAAAACTGCCTGGTCAATTTTCACTATTGGGTCCATAGAAAAAGACAACCATGCAGCTGTCATGTATTTGTGGTCTAGAGTGGAAGAAATGCTAAAAGGAATAAAGGAAGTGCAACCTTTACCCCCAGACAGTCTCTGTGTTATCTCCCCACCCCACCCCATGTCTGCCTGTTAACCTTGGACTTCTTTGCTGACTTTGTGACTCAGGTGTGGCTGCCACCAAGCTCCAGAACAAGAGAGTGTTCCCGATGGTGTGCTCGACTGCAGCCAAAAGTAGCATGAAAATCATCCGCTCCTGTGCTACCCCCACCTCTCTGCAATACCTCTGCTGCTACCGTCTCCGCCAGCTGCTTCCTGACTACGTGGACACGCTGGAGGTGCTTCCCCTCCCTCCAGGACTCAAGCAGATTTTGCACAACAGATTGGGCTGGGTGTTGAGCATGAACTGTGGCTCGCTCCAGTCCTCCTCCTCCTCCTCTTCCTCCTCCTCCTCCTCTTCTACCTCCTCAGGAAGCGATTCAGACAGCTCTTGTGGCTCAGACGCTGAGGCACGCCATCGGAAGAGATGCAGGTGGAGGACTTAATTTATTCCCCCCCCCCTTCGAAAGACAGTGTTGTCATGAAGGATAAGCCGTTCCCTCAGTGTTACCGAGTGACATTCTACCTTCCTGATTGTGTCCTGTTTGAACACTAAAGCCCGTTTCAACTTACCATTAAAGAGACAAAGCCGTTTCCACAGCTTCATTTTACCACGTGGCCAGCGAGGTCACCAACACTGGTTTGCCACGTTTCCCGGAACAAGTCGTTCGAAAGGCCAGGCTTCTGGCAGCCCAGTGTATCAATAAGTAATCCTTCCTGCAGCCAAAGGAATGCTTAGGGACACCTCAGAAGCTACCACATGTGCTATGTGAATTGCAGTAGAGGGCTGCCAGAGTTTCGGAGCCAAGGAGCAAAGCAGTCTTTCCAGAGCCAAAGGGCTCTCCTCCATTCTCAGTGCTTTGGTATTCAGAAGAGAACGTTAAACCTTTTGACAGCGTAAGTGGTATCATGTGAGGCCTGCAACT